TTATCCTACCCCGGTTCGATTCCAACTTTCACTCACCAAGCCTAAGTGGTAACATCATTCTACCCCTTTCTTACGCCATTGAGGGCAATGTCGAGCTTAAGTGGGGGGGGTAGTATACTATTATGCTTGTGTGAGTGTGATTGATGCTTGGAGCCTTTTGTATGCCCAAATTTCAAAAATTCTAGGGCTCCAAGCAATGTTTGCATGATCAAAGTGGCCGGTGTGTGGGAAATTCTCGTGTTTATTGGCATAGATCTTGATTTGTTGCATGTGATCGAGTATATCCTATGATGATGACTGAGAGGTCCATTAGGATAGGGCAAAAGTTTAGTTCTCATGTGTGCATAAATGAATGGATGTCTTGACTCGATTACTTGTTGATTACAATTGCCATGCATCGTGTCTGTGAATTGGAATAGATGGTTGGGTGACTAGGTAGCCATGTGAGCTTTGAGCCGATCGTTTTCTTCTTGTGTGCTTAGATCCCTCTTACCATGGCGAGTAACATTACAGTTGTCACTAGTGAGTATGATGGAGGCATATGATTAGTCCACGCCCAAGTGTTGATTGTCCCGAAATGTGTAATCCCTTAGTCAAACCCTTTGAGCCTTGTGGCTTCGAGGGTCATTCTTAAGTCAGGAGTTTCTTGCTTGTGAACTTAATGGTGTTAATAGAACGACCACCAATCCTTTCTTCGTGTCTAAACATGAGTTGTCCTTGTGTCTCGGACCTCTCGCTTTTGAGTTCCATAGAGGTTCTACATAAGGAGGTTTGTGTGCGATTCTTGCTAGGAATGAAAAATGAAGTGTAGTGTTGGAGTGATTTCTTCAAAAAGAGAGCATTGGTCGTTAATTGCATAGGTGGCAAGTGTTTTTACTCTCTAGTACCCCCCTCAAAAAGAAAAGAGCAGAATATCGGTGTTGATCTAAAAATAGAGTTAACTGGGGAAATGTCCCATCCAAGCGTTGGTTAGAGGTAGTTTATTTACTTGCGGTGTACTTCCTTCATTCCTTGGTACAAGCGGATAAGAAAAGAAAGAAAAGAAAAGAAAAGTGAAACAAAAAAGAGGTAATAAAATGGGGTAAATAAAGTAGAGAGTGTCACGAAAAAACAAAGTACATGCTCAAGGAGGGGTTTCTTGGCACTCAAGCCATTGAAACCCCCACATTGTTCAACTCCTTCACTATCAAACCTTAATGTGCTAGCAAGAGTTGACCGAGGAAGAGTTCTTTGATGTAGTTCATGATGGGTGATAGTTTGGAAGGGAGAGATAAGGTTTTTGGCCAATGCTAGTGGCCTTTGGTTGAGGAGAAGGGTTTTAGTCGAAACCATAGAACCTTCGGGTTTAGGTTGAAGATGTAGAACCTCACGTCATGATTGCCACCACCCAAAAAGCCTTTACCCCATGTCCAAGACAATTGCCAGTCATCTGAACTCGCGTCTAAGACCTCCGGACAAGCTAGTGGTGACAACCATCCCGTGAACTCTAGCATTTAGAGGTTACCGCCGTGGTATTGAGACGATAGGGCCGAGTGTTTATGATTGTGCACATCTTTTGATCCAAAAGGCCCCGACCCCACTGGTCTTGAGAGAGTGATTCGTTCTTCTGTTGCATGGCATATCATACCCCGGTGAGGACCTTTGTTGCCTTTCCATCTGTTTCTCGGACTTGAATTCCATGCATGGTTGGTTGTGGTTGATAAGTGGTCTTGTTGAGACTTGCAGTGATCCATGAACAATGTGAGAACTTTTCGGTTGCGCATTTTTGGTGGCTTCGAATGTCGTTTGTGGTGGATGTCGGTATTGCTTGCAACGGTCCATGTATTGATTGCCAATAGCCATTGAGAATTCCCACTTTGTGCCCTTTGAGTTTTCCCCAAAGTATTTGTGTAGGTTGAAAGATTACTTTGTGTGAAATAGTTTGCTTGGGGACAAGCAAACGTCTAAGTGTGGGGGAATGATTCGCGTCTAATTGTACATGTTTTCCCCCGTTTTCCTTAGTCGTTTGTGGCAATTTCGCTTCTAAAAGGGTGGTTTTACGCTAGGTTTCTCGTGTTTTAGTGTGTTTAGGGATTTAACAGGTGAAACCAACCCCGGAGTCGAAAGTTGGACGAAAAGGAGCGAAAATCGGGAGAAGAGGTGAAAAATGGCGAGTTCACGGTTTTCCTTGGATGTTCGGTTTTCCTTGGATGTTCACGGTCTTGTATGACCGTGAAGAAGAGTCGTTGGCTGTGAAATTTGAGGTGTCCAGAGCTAAAATGCAAGTTACAGACGCCAATTGAGTTCACGGTCGCTAAGACCGTGAACAAGTGTTGTTTGGCCGTGAACCCATGGAAGCAAAGCGGTGCGTTTCGGGGCCCATCTGAAGTTCACAGACGTGTTTCAGAGTTCACGGCCGTGAACGCAGGCCGTGAACGCAGGCCGTGAACTGAGCTTGTCCACTGTTTAAAAGGTGAGCTGAAAGGAAGAGAGAGGAGAGAGCCCATTGTGTGAGAAAGCCTTCTTTAGATTTTTAGAGAGAGAAAGACGAACCAAAGGAGAAGGAGGCTAGGGTTTTTCTCCAAGGTGGGATTTTGGAAGACTCTCCACAAGAGAAGTTGAGCACAAGGGTCTAGAAGATTGAAATAGGGATGGCAACAAAACCCGAACCCACGGGTACCCACCCAACCCAACCCGGTCAACGCGGGTAAAATCCGTGTTGACGGGTTTTGGGTCGGGTTCGGGTTTAAACCCGCTACACTATTCACCAAGTCGGGTTGGGTTTGGGTTTAGGTAAACCCGACCCATGGGTACCCGCCCACACATATATAATTACTTTCCCGGTATATTTAATATTCTAAATAATATATTTTCCTTAAACAATTAATATTCTTTGGAGACATGTATAATTTGTTCTTTCTAATTGTTTAGAATGAAGTTGATATTATGAAGTGGAGAGTGAAGAAACTTAGTTGACGAGGAAGAAGCTTTCAATTAATCTTTTGTTTATAGATGTTTATTTTTAATTTTGAACAATTTGTATTGATCATTTGCGGTTTGCTTGTATGCTCTAGATTGGTGTTTTTTGTATGATTAATTTGTATGAGAAAATTGATGTTAAACTTTTATTTTGAAAGAAACTTGTTATTGTAAATTTTTTACCACAAAAACCCACGGGTACCCATGAACCCGCGGATACCCAGTGGGTTGGGTTGGGTTTGAGTTTGTCAAACCCAACGGGTTTTACCCCGGGTTTTTTTGGCGGATAAACCCATGGGTTTGGGTTTGACAAAACCCGCCCCAACCCGACCCATTGCCATCCCTAGATTGAAAGCCTCCTTCAACATGGTTTCTACCTCTTCTCCTTGTGTTTCCCTCATTTCTATCATGGAGTAGATTTATTTTCACTTGGGTATTGTGAAACCCTAAGTAGCTACCATTTAGTTTCTTTTATGCGAATTGAATGATTATCATTGGGTATTGTTTAATTCAATGATTGGGGTATTATTCATGTCGATTGTGCATGCTTGTGCTTAGCAATCTAAGGGTTGTGCATGTTTTGTGCTTAGCATCCTTAGGTTTGTGCATGTTGGTGCTTAGCAACCTAAGATTGTGCATAATTGTGCTTAGCATCCTTAGGTTTATGCGTGTAGGTGCTCAACAATCTAATTAGCCACTTTAACCTAGATTACAGAGGAAAATCCCCCCTTTTAAGGAAACTCAATCGAGTTGGTTTTTCTTTAGCTTTTTAAGCCACCTAACTAGGTTAATTTAGGGAAAACCTCAATGTTGAATTAAGTAAATTGGTTAAGCGTGATTAAGCCGTCCAACCCTTGAGTTGAATGAGGGAGTAAGTCAACCATCGATTGCCTAAACCAAGAGGGCCGAGTGACATGGACTATAATGTTTACCTCGGTTTAGCAATTGAGATTGTGGTCAACGACCATATTTGCATCCCTCTGCGGTTCGCGGTTACCTTGCCCATAGCAATCGTTCCAATTCACATACCATGGTAGTAGTTAGGGGGGAAGCGACACCCAAGTGATCCTTCTCACAAAGAGCTTTCAAAACCATTTACCTTTGCCTTATTTTATTTTAATTAGCAAACTTTTCAACCAAAACTTTGTTGCTAGATAATGATTCAAATGACTAAAGTAGGGGTACACGGTGTTGGACGGCGGCGGCGGAGGAGTGGGAGGAGGTATTGAAGCCGGCGCCAGGCATGGGGATGGGGCAGGAGTTGGAGTCGGAGTCGGGTGGTGGTGGTGGGGAGTGTTGCTACGGTGGTCAAATTCCGCGGCGGCGGTGGAGGTTGGGTCGAGTAGGGTATGAGGTTTGTATAAAAGAAATTGGATTTTATTTTTATTTTTTTCATTTTTTATTGAATGTAATAATGAGGTGGAAAATATAAAACTTTATTTTTTTATTTCTAATAATTTTTTAGTTGCCACGTCACTAAGTTAACGGTCAACTTTGAGAGTTGACTGCCACATCAGCCAAAGTTAACAGAGTTGGACGAAGAGTGACCAAACGTAAACGGTTTCGGTAAACTGAAGTACCACCAACGGATTTAAATATTTCGAGTGACCAAACTTGAACGTATTTTGTAATCTCAGTGACCAACCATACAATTAATACTTTATTTATTCTTCACCATTAGGTATATTATATAACATATTTGTGGGTACATGGATACTCGCCTGATATCCGCGAGTATAGTTACAGTAAAAGATATGATATGCATTCCATTATAAGCTACTCGCCCGATACCTGTCCAAAAATTAAATGAGCGGGGATCGAATATCAACTATCTACTCTAAACCCGATCCGTTGCCAATCCTAGTCGTTTGATCTACCATTCTACCTGAACGACGGGATGAATGGAGACCACGCTTCTAGTCCATGGACCCGCATGTATTGTCAAATCCCTCACACCCTCTCGCAGAACGGCAGAAGTCACGAGTCTCCTCGTGTTTCAACGGGGATGCTAAGTATAAATAGCGGGAGAATTCCCCCCCTGAAAATCTGCACAGTGCGCCCGTACTCTTTCCCTCCTCCTTCCCCCTTTTTTTTTCTCTGAGCTCGTCAGAGCAACGGAGGAGCCAGAGGAGAAAACAACGTCAGTCTTCAAGTTTCTCCGTCTAAAAACCGAAAGGAAACCCTAGAAATCCAACTTCTCTATTTGGTATGCCTACGACCATCTTCTTCTCTTCTACTCCTTCTTACTTATTTCAGCTGGCTCGTCGCAAATACTGTTTGCTTGAAATCGAGCACTCTTGTGCTTCAATTCCCCGGTTCAGCTGTGTTTGGCCATGGAAGAGCGCTTAGCGAGCGGAGAATTTCTCCATTTCGATTTCTGTTTGCCTGCATTGTTCTCTGTCATTTTAGCTGGGTCTTTTGAATGTACCGTTTGTTTGAAATCGGTTAAAAGGCTTTCAGCACTCTATGTGCTTAAATTCTCTCGTTTCTGCTGGTATTGAACCTAGATTTTCTGGAGCTTGATTTCTGTTCGGCTGCATTGTGCTTCTTCCGGCTCTTGTGTCTCCGAGTGTATAGTCGACTCTGCTTCATCCTGTATCGGTGTACCTGTTTGTTTTGAAGTTTCTTTTCAGTTCCAGCTTCGAATATGTGGTTCTCGCTTCGTTTATTGAACGCTTTCCGTTCGCGTCGGCGAGCGTTTTAACGGCCTGTTTCAGCAATCGATTTTTTGCACTACGTCCGTTTGCTCCGTTTTTGTGGGTTTTGACTGTGCAAGCCTCTTACTGTTGTTTGGATCCAGGCATCTGTCTATTTCCCGCTGCGTGATGCGTCGCTCAGCTTCCGACGAGTGTTTTCCGTTGCTAGTAGACGATGAACTTTTTGAGTCTCCTCGTGTATGCTGATATGGGAGATTCCGTTGTTCTGTGCTTGCTTCTGTTTGGATTTCTTCCTGAATGTGGCAATTTCACTGCTCTTCAAGCTTTGTTAGAGAAAGATGCATGGAGGGATGAACGCTAGCATGGATGCCTGTGCTTCTCTTTGTTTTGTAATAGTTCTTAAGGATCTATGTATTCCTTCTTATCATCATGCTTAGCTACTCTAGATTCTGAATTCTGATATGTATATAGAGCCTGTTCCATTTTACTAGTCATTTTGCTGCTGTCACCTTATACCAATTTCTTCAGCTGCATTGTATTCTGCTCTTGATGTTTGTGATAGAATAGCAGTTCAGTTTCTACCAGTAGCTTCTCTTACTGGTCTATTCCTCGCGTTCTTCTTTTAAGAATCTTAACAGATGACTATTTTTTTTTATAGTAATCAAAGTGGTGGTTTCATGTGTTGCATGTAGGAAATTAATTTATCTTTCAGAGAATTTGTTCAGGTTACAGGAGTTTACTGGAGTTTTATTATCATTGTAGATGTTATTCTTGCTAATGATATCATAAATGGTTGTTTCAGGTAAACATGGCGAAGGAATCAAATGGATCACCTCATTTGCCCCCACCCCCTCCATTAGCATCAAGTGCTAACCCTGAGCTGGCAATCCAGCATGTAGATCAAGCTGACATTCCAAAATACTCTATTGTGAGTAGGAAGGGAGTTGGAAAGCTTGGGCGTCAGATACCTTTGATGACAAATCACTTCAGAGTTTCTGTTGGTGTTCCAGATGCAGTCTTCTACCAGTACACTGTGTGTTTACCTATTCTTATAATCTGCAGATTTACTTATTTCTACGTCTTATGCATTTACATGTTGCAAAAGCTGAAATGGTCATGTGAATGGCAGGTTTCGATTAGTTATGAAGATAAGAGACCTGTCGAAGGAAAGGGAATTGGTAGAAAGCTGATTGACAAGCTTTACCAAACCTATTCTTCTGAATTTACTGGTAAAAGGTTTGCCTATGACGGTGACAAGACTCTATATACTGTTGGACCTCTACTGTTCAAGAAGCAAGAGTTCACTGTGGTTCTTGAGGATTCTGTTGCCAAGGGGTATGGTTCAAAGCAGTTTATGACTTTTTGTTGCATCTCTTTGCTTTCCACTAATGAGATGTTATCTTTATATTGCAGCGAGCTTGGAAGCCCATCCTCAAAAAACAAGAGGACAAAGTGTTCTATTGGCTCAAAAAGCTTTAACATAGAAATCAGTTATGCTGCGAAAATCCCATTAAAGCCCATTGATCTTGCCCTCAAGGGTAATGAGGCAGATATTGGTGGCATTCAAGATGCTGTGAGAGTACTGGATATCATATTGAGGCAGCAAGCAGCCAACAGGTAGCTATATCTCCCTATTCAGTTCTTTATAATGAAGCATTGTATCTCAGTGAAATTTTTTCTGTTGCAGGATTGTGTTTTAATACAGACAAATGATTCCACTCAAGTCGTATCATATATAGTTTACTGAACAAATTAATTATTTTACAGGGGCTGCCTTTTGGTAAGGCAGTCGTTCTTTCATGACGATGCAAGAAACTACACTGATGTTGGGCAGGGCGTAAGTGGCCTTAGAGGTTTCCACTCTAGCTTCCGTACCACTCAGGGTGGTTTTTCACTCAATATGGGTACAACTCTAGGTTCCTTAATAATCCCCTGAGATTAACTGCTGATGCCTTTTGATGATCAGTTGTCAGATTTGCTGCCTCAGCCTTCTGTATCGTTGTCAATGTGCAGATGTTTCCACAACAATGGTCCTAACTCCCGGGCCAGTGAAAGATTTCCTGTTAGTGAATCAGAATGTGAGAGAACTTCGAGAGATTGACTGGGACAAGGTAAGAAATTGCTGAACGGGATCCAGTGAACATGTTCTTGTGTGTGTAGATGCTAACCTTCTTCTAACATACAGGCTAGGAGGATGTTGAAGAATTTGAGGATTAAAGCAACACACAACAATAGGGAATTTAAGATCATAGGTTTAAGCGAGATGCGGTGCAATCAGCAACTGTATGTTCAACTATCTAATGAATCTTTACTTTGACTCAATTTCTGCTCTACTATGTGGGTTCAGTTGTGTAAGACCTCTTTCTCATCTCTTTCCAGTTTTTCAATGAAAGTGAGGAACGGTGATGGCACAAATGGGGATGCAGAGAATGTTGAGATGACAGTTTATGAGTATTTTACCAAACATCGTTCTATACCATTAACCTATTCAGGATTCTTGCCCTGCCTAGACGTTGGCAAGCCAAAAAGGCCAAATTTTCTGCCATTGGAGGTCAATGTTTTCCCCATGTAACTCGTTCATTAACTGATTGTATAGTGAATCCTTCTCTTATGTGGCATTTGTTTTTTCCAGCTCTGTTCATTGATTTCACTCCAGCGATACACAAAATCCTTATCAGCAATGCAGAGAGCATCTTTGGTTGAAAAATCAAGACAGAAACCTCAGGAGAGAATAAGAACTGTTACTGATGTAGGTTATTCTCATAACCTGTATGATTTCTCATTTCTTTATCGTAAATAATATTCATTGCTAGAACATATGCAGGCTATGAGAACATATCGCTATGATGAGGATCCACTGCTCTCTGAATGTGGCATCTTGATAGAAAAGAAATTGACATCTGTCAATGGCCGTATCCTTGATACCCCCAAGGTGATTCTTATTTTGTTGAATCTTCCTTTCGTTTTGTTTTACGTTTTTGGTCTTTAATGAGGATTTCCCCATCCATCCTGTCTTGGTTAAACCCTTTTCTGTTATTTCTCTTCTGTTTGTGACTATCAGTTGAAGGTTGGTAATAGTGAGAACTGCTTCCCGAATAATGGTCGTTGGAACTTCAACAATAAGGTATCTTTGCATGCCAATATTCTCCTCTCATCTCTTGTTTATATTCTTCTTCTTTCTTCTCTGTTGTTAACAATTTTGAAGTTTCTTGGTCTGATCTTGTCTTTTCTCTTGTGTAGTTGCTTCTGAAAGCAACGAGCATTAAGCGGTGGGCTGTTGTCAACTTTAGTGCTCAATGTGATACTAGTCGCCTGTCCCGTGACATGATCAACTGTGGAAGGAAAAAGGGCATTGTATGTTACTGCAGTTTCTCTGTTGGTTGTTTTTGCATCTGGTTAAAAATTTCTATAAACCCTTTTATCCATTTGTGAAGGATATTGAGGGTCCCAAGAGTTTAATCGACGAATATCCTCAGCTAAGAAGAAGCAGTCCTCTTGCTAGAGTGGAAAGTATGTTTGATCAAGTTAGAGACAAGCTGCCTGGTCCGCCTGAATTCATCCTGTGTCTCTTGCCACAAAGAAAAAATTCTGATATTTATGGTACTTGGTTCTTTATTTTTCTATTTCTCCATATTTCATTTTACTCTTCCATGTCTCAAAGTCGAATCCTCCATCTTAATAGTTTCGAGTTGCTTCCCTTTGTTTACCAGGGCCGTGGAAGAAGAAATGTCTAAGTGATTTCGGAATTGTTACACAGTGCATTTCTCCACCACGTGTTATTAAGGATCAATATCTTACCAATGTACTTCTGAAGATCAATTCAAAGGTATGTCATTTGGAAGTATCATTCCTTCTACTGTTTAGTTGATTCTTTTGTCGTACTTCTCAGTTATCTTTGACCTTTACTTCATTGTAGCTTGGAGGGATAAATTCTATGCTGGAAGTTGAACTTACTCGATCCATTCCCTTGATAACTCAAACACCAACAATGATTTTGGGGATGGATGTATCCCATGGTTCTCCTGGTCGGTCGGATGTTCCATCTGTTGCTGCGGTATTTTCTTCTTTCTGGATATATATTTTTAGGCATTATCTTCATTCTGAACTGGACAATGACAAGTTCACAAAAGCTAAGCCTTTTGCCACTTCTTTTACTCTGGCTTTAGGTTGTTGGATCCCTCGAATGGCCTTATATCACGAAGTATAGAGCATCCGTGAGAACTCAGTCTCCTAAGTTGGAGATGATTGATGCTCTCTACAAGCCTACAGCCAATAACACAGATGATGGCATCATGAGGTATTTAATTAAAATATCAATTTTGTTCTCGGACTTCATCTTGATGCTCAGATTTGTTGACTTGTTTGTTCTTTATGAAGTCATCTTTTATTGTTTGCTTGGTTTCTTATTTTGGATTGGATTAATCCAAGGATAGGCTGACGACTTTGTGATGCTGACAATATAGTGATGGTTGCATGTCTTTTAGCTTCACTGTCATACTTGTTCTAGCCCTTTGCTGATTTTCACCATCTCCCAGAGAGCCGTGGCTTGACCCTTCTTCGTCAGCTTAGTATTTGGTTTATCTATTTGGTCCTCCATCTTATTTATTCTTGGCACTATGTATATTGTCCCCAGTGGATGTCCCATGCAGAATAGTTTCTTAAACTATGATCCCAGTCTAAAAAACAGTTCTAGAATACGAGGCTGCATGATTTGTTTGCTAAGGGCTTGTGATTGTTCTTGATTGCAGGGAATTGTTCATTGAATTCTATAAGACAAGTGGAGCCAAACCTAAACAAATTGTTATTTTCAGGTACTCCTGCATTGTCGACACTTCTCATTATAACTTTTTTATTCCTAATCCTAGATACTGCAGATTGTCTAAAACTTTGTCTTGCCAAATTTAGTTCCAGACTTCATATTATGAATGGCTTGCTACATTCTTTTCATTGTATTTTTATTCTGTGTGTAGTACAATCCCTGTCATTGGCCTCGTCGTGGACCATGTTTCCACAAGGAATTCCTAATAAAAATTTGAGGGACTGGTTGACAGTGAACTTTGGTAACTTATTTTGTTGTATGGCAGCTCCATTTCATGACTACAGACTGTTCGATGTATGGTTCTTGCTGCATTATGGTTGATCTCTAAGTCCCAAGTAGTGTACATCTTTTCACTGAGTCGGTGCTACTGCTATGAGTTGCACAATGGTTAAGTTTTTGGGGGTTCATGCTCTTCTATTACTTCCCTCTTGTGTGGGTAGAAGGTGTTTTCTGCTGTATTTGCATTATTCGTGATATTTTTTGGCTTTCTAATGCTAATAAATTGTACTATTGACTTCTCCTAATTATTTCAGAGATGGGGTGAGCGAGTCACAATTTAATCAGGTGTTAAATATTGAGCTGCCCCAGATTATCAAGGTTTCTAACCCAATTCAATAAAAGCTAATCACTGTTAACTCATCTATTTGCTGCTGCGTTTCTACCTCACTGTCTGTCCCAAATTACCATAAGGATAATTTCTTCTGTTTCCTTGCACTATTCATTCCAAAAAAACTCTGTCTACTACCCCTTGACAGGCCTACCAACATCTGGGCGAGACTGATGTGCCAAAGTTCACAGTGATTATCGCGCAGAAGAATCACCACACTAAGTTATTCAAGGCTGAAGGCACTGACAATGTTCCTCCTGGTTAGCTTCTATACTTCTGATTGTCCGGGTCCCCATTCTGTGATCACTGTCTCTTCAGTTGTTTATCGGAAGTGAATTTGTCTCGCCTACAGGGACGGTCGTGGACACAACTGTCGTACATCCCAGAAACTATGACTTCTACATGTGTGCTCACAATGGCGCCATCGTAAGCCCCCCTAATTTGCTCGTGAAGCCTTTTGCCTGTTCATTCCTCGAGAGGTTTTAAAGAACCTGTACATGCGTGTGTTCCAGGGTACCTCAAGGCCAGCACACTATCACGTCTTGGTTGATGAGATAGGATTCTCTCCTGATGTTCTACAGAACCTCATCCACTCTCTCTCCTATGTGTAAGCCCTTCATTCATACTTGGGGAAAAATCGTTTCTGCTTCACTTTATCGTAAATTCGGTCATCTGAATCTTTTTGTTTTGCTATACAGCTACCAGAGGAGTACAACAGCAATCTCGATCGGTAAGTTCACACACTTCACACTCAGAACCACATTGTGTTTTTCAGTTTTCAACCAAACCTTGTCCAAGTCGCGTATCTTTCGTCCCAAACCTCACATCTCTTTGCTTGCACATTCCATCCGACAGTGGCTCCCGTTTGCTATGCCCATCTGGCAGCCGCACAGATGGGACAGTTCATGAAGTTCGACGACATGTCGGAGAATTCTTCTGAAGTCATGACATCTGCAGGAGCTGCTGCAGTTCCGGAGCTCCCTAGGTTGCACAAAAACGTCGAGGCTTCGATGTTCTTCTGCTGAAGATGCTCTCTCCCGCCCACCAACCAACCAACATCTTCCCGTACATATCGGCTCCTCTTTTGTAGAGATTCTTGGCGGAGTACAGAATGCCAAGCTTATTTGACCTCTAGGCGACTCTTTTAGCTAGGGCACAGCTCAATTGCCATTTGCTACTACTACTACTGAAAACCTCTGGCGGTTCTATATTTTGACGGAAACATATTCCTCCCAGCTTTCATGAAGCGCGGTGAGAAGTTTTGTAATGAAGGGTTTATTATGATGGGGCGGATTAATTTTATGGGCGGTTTTATTTTATTTTGCGATGGATTCTGAGGATGATAGATGGTGGGAAACTGGGAATTGTTGGCGTAGGTTTAACGTCTGCTGACTGATGGACCCACGGCCCTGCCGCCTGCCGGTTTCTGAATTCATTGTGGTCTGCAACGGAGACCGATCAGATAGCTGAGGAAGAAGAAAATGCCAACTTCTAGAACGGTGGCCTTTTCAGGTCGCATTGCTTGAGAAGACCGGGTTTGGATACTTTGACCCAAAATAAAGATTGGAGTCATTTGGTAAATGGACTCCGTGGAGCCGGAATGGGAAACTGTGATGAAACGTGTTGATTTAAGATTGCTTGTTAGTGATGGCAATTTCAACCCGCCTCGCGGGTATTACCCGACCTGACCCGCGATGGGGCGTGTATTATCCGACCCGCAGTAGCGTGGGGCGGGGCATGGGTATCTACTTCCGACCCGCCCTGTCCCGCCCCGCCCCGTTTTAGACTCATTTTATCTCAATTTGTTACAATATCTATACATATTTCTCCTATTTTGACTTTTATTCAACTAGTTAGAGTCGATCTTTCAACTTGTTAGGCTTAATTATCCATTCTATTATCAATATTTTTCATTCTTAAAGTGTTTTTCCCTACGTTTTATTGTAAAAAGTAAAATTTACTTGTCTTTTTTTTTTTAACAACATGTAAGAGTGGGTCGACCCGCCCCGCCCCGTACCCGCACGGGTTTTACCACCCCGATCCGTAGTAGCGTGGGGCGGGGTATCGACCGGTATATTAATTTTTTTTTTTTTTGCAAAATACACTTGTATAACCATAACTTTCATGTTTGTGACAAATATAGCCATAACTATTCGAAAACCAAAAATAGCCCAAAAAACTAAAGGTAGTATGACAAATCTAGCCAAATCCGTTAGAAACTTTAACGGTGTTAGAAACTCCATCAGTTAGATTAACGTTAGGCTGACTATGATGCCAAATCGTCGGACACGTCAGCGACCAATCATCAAATCATTCCCATGTCATTTTGAATTACAATAATAATTAATTTTGAAATTATAAAAAAAAATTCTAGCTCTCCTCCCCCGCAACAATCTTCTGCCCAAATCCCTTTCCCTCTCCTCCTCCATTCATCTCCAATCATCTCTCTCTTCGCTTCCTCTTCCTCCTCCTTTCCCTCTCCTCTCCCAACCACCTCTCCAGCGGTAGCACCACCGTCTTGATTCGCCAGCCAACCTGTCCAATTCGCATTGCCACGACGACGGTGGCCAATTCAGAATCCAGAAATGGAGAAAAATTGAAGCGAGAACTCAAGTCAAACATAGATCTACCCTGCAATTGAAAAACAAAAAGCTTACTTGACCAGCGGAAATCCGCAGAAGAACTCTCTGAACCCTCGAATCGTCGGCCTCCGGCACCCGCATTTGAATCCTCATCAGCTCGCCGATCGTCAATGGCTTCTTTGACTTGCCCTGACCAGAGCCAGATCCGGACCCGGGGATCTTCTTGGACCCAGACCCGGGGGATTTCAATCCGAGAGCTTTCTTCGTCTTGCTGGCCGCGGCGGAAGTGAGCGAGCGCTGGAGTGACGGAGACGAGTTGGAGTTGGAGTTGGAGCTGGGGGAGTGAGGAAAATGGTGGTGGTTATGTGGGTCGGTGGCGGCTGCGGTGGAGAGGGGCTTGGCGGAGGAAGTGCGGGTGAGGGCAAGGAAGATCTCGTAGGCGGCGGAGCGGAGGTCGGAATCGTTCTTAGGTTGGGTCTTACCGTGGTATCTGTCATCGCTGCCGAATTCGGAGTAGTCTTTTATAAAGGGGGAATAAATGGGGGAATACATAAGTGAGAAAGGGAGAGGGGAGAGTGGCGGATGTGGTGGTGGAGAGCATCGAGAAGCTAGGGTGGAGAAGTTTGGGTGGAGTTTGAATTGGGGAAGATGTACAGTAGGAGGAAGATGGGCGGTGGGTGGGGGCCATATAAGGTTGCAATTTTTTTTAACTAAATTATGACATAAATAATGATTTTTTATATTTTTAATTTTTTTTGTTAATCCACATCGGCTTGGTGGGGACCATAAATCGCCAACTCAGCATATTCCGTCAGTACAGTCAGATTGTTAAGTAACACCGTTAAAGAGATGGACGGAATTGGTTATTTTTGGTTTTCGAATAGTTATGGCTATATTTGTCACAAACGTGAAAGTTATGGCTATACAAATGTATTTTGCCTTTTTTTTTACAATGAAGATCCTTTCAATATATTCATCCCGAGCCAAGAAGCAGTACAGAGAGGATTACAGCGGGTGGGAGATGAGATTAAGTACAGTAATCCAATCAGTAGGGAGTTCATCATAGTGTATCTCAAATAAAGGACCCATCATAGTGTATCTCAAAGGGATGATAACTCGGCGGTGAAGATGATTGGATAAGGGATGTCCTAGGCTGGTGGTGTGATAAATTCCGGATCATGGGACGGCGAGGACATGTCGCCCAAGAGACTGCATCTTTGGACGCCTTATCACAGGTGGCCGGTGGCCAAAGAGTGGTCCCTCTGAAAATCTTCTCATTTCTTGCCTTCCAAATATGCCATGTAAGGAAGATGATCATCTTGATGGAATGGACATGAGTGCTTGGAAGAAGGCTGGACAGCCACTCCAAAACCGAGACACTCTTCGGAGGAGTAGGCAAAGAAGGGAGCATTGTCATCCACGATTGTTGTGCATGATGGCATTGGAAGATGCAGTAATTGATGGTTTCAGTGTGTACGGTGCAGAGCGGGAACATCGGAGATGGGGAGCATTTCCTTGAGTAAAGCTTACCTTTTGTTGCAATAGCTCCACGTGAACATTCCAGATAAAAATTTTCATCTTCGGAGGGAGTGAGAGGCTCCATAGCCATTTCCAACAATCCCTTTCCATCTGAGAAAGCGGGGGCTCAGTCCTTGTCATTCCTTTTCTGCTCGTAGAAGAAGTGGTAGCCAGAGCTAACCGTAAAAGTGCCATTTTGGTGAGGACCCTAGGCCAAGAAGTCCTTTGCTTCCTCCGTGCCAATTGGGATGCTTTCAATCCGTTGAGAAAAAACAGAATCAACCAATGGCGGGAAGATGTGGGAGTTCCATGAACGGCTCTGGCCATTGATCAAATCAGCCACCAAAGTGTTGTCATTTGTCCCTGTCGAGATGGCCTCCCCATTCATCCCAAGAATCCACGGGTCGTTGAATGCTCTAGCGCTCTGACCATTCCCAATAAATCTGATTGTCCCTTTCCGCATCAAATTTCTTGCTTCCCATAAGCTTGCCCATATCCAAGATGGACGAGATCCTTTTTTAGCGGAAAGGAAGTTCGTTCTTGGGAAGTACATCCTTTTAAGAAGTCTACCCCACAGAGAGTTTGGGTTCGTGAGAAGTCTCCATGATTGTTTTGCCAGGAGGGCCAGGTTGAACTCTCTAAATGAGCGTAAGCTGAGGTCATCCTCCTCCTTGGCGTCACAAAGAAACTGCCCCTTAATCCAGTGGATAGATTTTTTGTTTAGGGAGCCTGACCAGAAGAACCTTCGGAGAAGAGCATCCATCTTGTTAATGGTAGCGATAGGCAGGAGAAAGAGGCACATCATGGGGATTTTATGTAACAACGGAAAATGAGGTAAGACTTACGCCCATGTTTTAATGTATTTTAACTAAATTTTTGTTTGGAATAATGTTATGTTGAAGTTACAAGGATAAATTGACTCACCATGTCATCAACTCTTCCAATCACTTGGATAGGAAATCTTTCAATGATTTAGACACCCTCATTTTCTTGATGACTTATGAAGTTGTTTTTGTCGTCGTAGATATGTTCCGCGAACTTCTTCAAATGTTTAACTTGGAACATTATTCTCGGTTTTGAGTGAGATGGGCCTCTTTGCCAACAGGTTGACTAACCTGTCCTTCCCTCCTCTCTTTTCCCCAAACTCACAATCACATCACATGGCTCATTTTTATTATAACACAAGAGATTCTCCCGCGAGAGATTCAAATTGGAAGTTGAACACCAAATCAGTATGATAGTATGTGGCGTTACTATTATTATTATTATTATTATTATTATTATTATTATTATTATTATTATTAGGTCTTAACTTTATAGGTACATTCTGCCTTATAACTTTAGGTGAAATAATTCTTGCCTATATCTTCGCCAATGGCCATTCATGTATTTTCAAAACTCATTGAGAACCCATAATACAACTCGACAAATTGGTTACACCAGAACTCCCTATAAACTTATCAACATATTTTTATGATACGCATTGGTGTTTTGATTTTGTTCGAGCCGATGCAACTTGGGGTCGCCTTGAATCTTAAAAGTTGTGGTGTCACACGAGTCACCCACTTTGACGTGGTTTGGAGTAATTCCTGAAGCGGAACCAAGAAACTAGAAAGAAGATGATAAAAGCTTTAGAGAGAGAAAGTTAGAGAGACTCTTGCATGAATAGTGAATGTCTTATTTATAACGAGTTAACACATATTATACCACACTAAGGGAGTGACTGGGGCTTTAATGCCTTGTCGGACGCCTTGGCACCTTCCCTGGCCTCTACCTCTAGGAGGAGAGGGAGGAGGAACCAAACTCATTACAACAGACTTAGAAGCTGACAATTTAGGGAAGTTTGTGTAATTAAACCAAACTTGCATATTCTCTTTCTGCATAGTGGAGGTCCCACCATCCTTAGACTTCTGCTTTCTACTAACCACCACAGTGAATCCAACACTACCATCTTGTACCTTTGTTGGGGATTGATAGGGCAAAAGCGTAATGCTTCAATTCCTATCTTGTAGTAAAACCGGAAATCCGGGTATCGTCTCTCAGGGACTGGTACAACCTTAAGTTCTATCAATTTTATGAGCAAACTATAAGTGAAAATAGTTTAATGAGACTAATTTCTAAAAACAAAATAAAATAAACAAAGTAACTAAATGAAAACTGTTCGGGAGAAATTCAATGGAGAAAGCTCTGGGAGAAACACCGGGACTCACTACCCATCCTATCCAGATTAATTCACATATTCCAATCAATTTAATCAATATCTCTACAGCCAGGATATCACTACGGTGCTAGCTATCCCTGTCGGGAATTACTACTTACTAAACAATTAAATCAAATCCTACTGTCGTAGCTCAATGAGTTAATTATTTAGCCTGAAGAACGATATCCCAATCAAGACAGCATAGTACCTTATTTAATCCACTGTCGCTTCGATAAGTTACTATGTCACACGAAATAGGTTCAGTTATTAGGGTTTCACTGTCGCTAATAACCTAATTAACTACAAATCAATGTATTGGTGGCCAGTCAACACAAAGCATTAAGTAATTTCATACAATAGAGATTGGAAGAAAAGAAATACGAATCAATCCATCAATTCTAGAAATAGCTACATCCTATGGTGTTTCCCCCAGAAATCGGGGTTTAGTTCATGACGAAAATAAAACACACAATCAGGTTCATAATCATCATGCCACGAATCGAAACAAAAGGAAAAGAATACTGAATTTCTCGAACGATCCAGCTCCAATTCCTTCTTTCTCTAATCGCTGTGCTGCTTCTCCGCGCTCAAAGAATAATTCCCCTCCCAAAAACAATAGCCGCCCAAGAGAATTCCCTTCTCCAAATAATTTCCTCCTGTTCCAGTCCAAGAAAACCCTCCACCAATTAAAATCCGGTCCAAGTCCATATATATTTCATGTCTCCCTCCAATTGTGTCCCATGAGAATTCCGGCCCAAGACCTTTCTTTTGAATCGTTGTGATTTAAGTCCAGTTCATGCTCGCCATATGCTACTTCCCTGGGTTGTCATTTTTCTCATCTTCTCCTAAAACACACCAAAACGCTAATACAAGATGATAATGGCTTTTCAACCATTTCAAGGTTAGTCGATCCTAAAACCAACACTATATGTCTCAAACATATCACCAAATAATCACATTAAGCGCATAATATCAATATGTTTTTGACAATTATCACAACCCCACACTCAATACTTGCTTGTCTCTAAGCAACGACTCAAACAAGAGAACCGATAATTGGAGAAACACAACACATACCACAAAGACACAGCCTTACTCAAGACACAATACGCCCGACACACAGAACACAACATCAACACTTGAAATTTATCCTTGTGCTCATGTGATAATCAGTAGTTTCTTTCTCAACGGATGAGTTGTGCTTTATTGATCATACCCCTTTCACCCCACACTCAAGGTCTTGCAACCCTTTACCATTGACTAACTCAAATTCACCAAAACTCAATTAGAAATCACTCAATCCCGATCGTCGGTAGTGGGTGCTTAACAACTTATGGTGCAACAGTTATTAGGAGAATCTAACCACATCAGTGAGGTGCATATCTCGTGAGGACAATCTGGCTTACTCACACCAATCATAAGCAATTAACTAAGCAAGAGTCTAAAAAACAAATGGGGGAAGCCTGTCGCAAACTAGATTTTAACTTTAAGCACATCACTACCTTTTATGATAAGGAGAGGCTTTCTCTCTTTCTGATTTTTCTTGCCGAGTGGTCGTATTTAGTACAAGTGGGATTTGTTTCTTACTACCGGTGACCGAGCAAGAGCAATTTCTGCTTCTTAGCACTCGCATAAGGACTCCTTTTAACTCCTTTTCCTCGGTCCGTGTGGAGGGTCATTGCACATCCTCTAATGGCACTTCACTAAACTGGAGATCATACTTGATAAGAAACATCATACGGTCGCGAACCGATTCTCAATTGAATATTTCCTACTCCCCATGTGCAATGAGTGATTGGCTCACACGATTTTGATATTTTACCCACACTTTAATTGTTATGACAACTTTCTTATCTTTTACTTGTCATGTAGGATTTTCTTCTTTTATAAAGATACAGTTCACCCCATCATAAAACATTCAAAACAAAGAGACTCAATGCAAAGTCAAAAGCTCACAATTGATGCAAGTAAGCACGGTATCCAAACATGTCGAATGGTCAATGTTCTCCACCTAACTATTTCACCAAAAGTCATTACACTATCCTCACAAAATAGAGAGTTGCTAAAAGAGTTTGCTCATTCAAAGCATATCCAATCAGTCAAAACATCAAGCTCATTGTGAAGAACTATGCAATTCAGTACTAGTGGGGTGATTTTGATGATTTCCTTCAAACACAAACTCATTTCACACGCATCACGGTCATTTACATCATGTTACCACAAGAGTACAAGGTTTTGTTTTTATTTTTTCTGATTTTTAGGTGTTTTTTGGCCATTAGCTTTGCACAGGCAGACTGCACCAACACAGGCAGACTGCACCAACACAGGCAAACTGCATGCAGTTTGGCTGTGCTCAACCTAATGGCAATTTTTTTTGTTTTCTTTTTTTTACCACACGCATCAGGGAAAAAACAACACTAAGACTCACCACCCCACACTCAGGATGGAACATTGTCCCTAATGTTCAACTCCTAATCTAAACATGCACGGGTTTGACACAACTAAAAAGAAAAATAAAGAAAAGAAAACTTACCTTGGGTTGCCTCCCAAGAAGCGCTTGTTTAACGTCCCAAGCCTGACGTTCATGGAGCTTTCAACCAATGGGTTTGGAAAGGTATCCATAATACCCTCCAGAGCAATGATAGAATGCATAACCTCCATCCAACATATGAGTCACCTCGGCAGGGCCTGGTGTGCGAAAATTTGGTATGACCTTCTTAGTTGGCATGTTGGATCCTTTAGTGAGGCGTAGGTGGTATTGCAGCGCCTCAAGCAAGTACTCTTCCTGTTTCAATGCCAGTGAAGAAGGAATAATAACAGGAAGATTGAAATCCTTACCCAAATATCTATACTTGAGGTGACCTGGCAAGGATTTCTGCCCTTGCTTTGATTCCAGAATCTGAGCAGATAGGATAGGTGATAATTCTTCGGATGGTCCACTATCACAGGAAGAGGAATATTTCCTTTCTCGAGCTCCACTTTCAAAGTCATCAAATGCATCGTGATTATGATCAATGATGACTCGATATTTGCACATGTTTTCCCCTTTGTTTCTTGATCGTTTAAGCTTGAATTATTGCTTCTTTGGCCTATTTTATGCTAGGTTGTGTTATTTTGTCATATTTCAGGTCCTAGAACATAAAGTGAAGCGTAGGCGCAAGTTTCAAGTCAATCGTAGATCAATTGGTGACTCGGAGGAAGAAACTCGGGTATGACTTGAAGAAGAAGGGATTTATACCTCAGTTTGTGACCATATAATCATGTAATCTGGTCATGATAAGAAAGAGGACGAGACTACGAGCGTCTGGGATCAAACGGCACCTGATTTGGAGTCCGAACGAGGGAGAAACGAAGAATCAAAGATAGGGGAAAATTGGTTTCGGGCTTCTCTGAGAAACAGAAGGGGGCCCTATCGTGAACCAAAAATCCCCGGTCGTGAACCAAAATCCCCGGTCGTGACCCAAAAATCCCCGGTCGTGAACCAAAAAATCCCCTGTCGTGACCAAAAATACCCGACCGGGTATTTTGACCGGGGATCGCGAACGCAGGCTGTTAAAAGCCTGTTTTGTGCGTTTTTGCAAGGGAGAGTTGGGTTTTGGATCCCAAACACCCTAGGGACGAACCAAAGAGAGAGAGGGTGATTTGAGGGCATTCTAGGAGAGGAATTGGAGGATTTATTCTCCTTGGAAGCTCGAGGAATAAGCCCGGACTTGAAGACTGATCATCTGAAGATTCTTACTGTAGTCTCTCTCTTCTCTATGGAGTAACTTCCCTTCACTTAGGTTTTGAGGAACCCTAGCTATGTTTGATTGATTGGATGATTGTATGAGTACTCCTACTTGATAATCTTGAGTTCATATTCAATCTATGCACGTTTTCATGATTCAATTCTGCTTTAGTCGAGATTATTGATTCTGCTTTGATCCTATGAGAGCGAATACTTGATTAGGTCAATAGAACACCATAGATTGATAGTATTGGATCGATTGCTTTAGTCGAGATTTGATTCACTGCTTTCTATCGATTAAGAACCTCATTCGATAGAGGGAGTCTAGTGCAGAACGCCTTGATCGGTTGTTCTAGAGAAGGATACGTCCCTCTAGGCAATTGACTCAAGAGGGCCTTGTTCCTTTAGTCGAGACTTAGGGTCTAGTCAAGGATTCTCCGCATTGTGAATTAAAGTGAAACAGGTTAGAGATCATCAATCATTAATCTGGCTAGTGGCTAGGGGGAATCATACCTAAGTGAGTTCCCAACCTGTAATTAGATTAACTTTAACTGTAGTTTGCTAGAGTAGTTTTAGTTCTTTCATCTTAATCTGGTTTGCTAGATAATGAACTAAAGCTGAGTAACAGTAAACTCTAGAGACCCGTGGATTCGATATTTATCACTTGAGCCACTATACTGCAGTCCCTTTCATTGGTTACACTTGGCCTTTGTTAGGAGTTGTGTCATAGCGAGTCAATCAACTTGAAAGACATTAAAAATTTTCTCCTCCTTACCTACTCGGAATGTCAACTTGCCTCTCCCAACATCGATGAGTGCATCTCCAGTTGCTAGAAAAGGTCTACCAAGGATGAGAGGCACTCCCCGATCTTCTTCCATCTCCAGAATCACAAAATCTGTTGGGAGAATAAACTTCCACACCTTCACCAATACATTCTCCACCACTCCCTTTGGAATTTTCACTGATCGATCGGCCAATTGGAGAGTGATCCGAGTAGGTTTAAGAACATCTCCCAATCCCAATTTCTTGTAGACTGAGTATGGCATTAAATTTATTCATGCTCCAATATCGCAAAGTGATTTATCGAACTCTCTACCTCCAACGACACATGGAATGGTGAAGCTTCCTGGATCATCCCTCTTTTCTGGTAATTTATTCTGAATCACAGCACTACATTCAGAAGTAAGGGTTACCTTCTATAGATCAGCCCACTTGCGCTTCTTTGTCAGCAACTCCCTTAAGAATTTAGCATATGTAGGCATCTGTTCAAGTGCCTCTGCCAGTGGTATGTTGATCTGAAGTTGCTTGAAGAGATTCACAAATTTCTTGAAGTTTGGGTCTTTCATAGGCTTCATTAACCTTTGAGGGAATGGCGCGGGAGGTTCATAAGGCTTTACCTCTTCATTCTTTAGTTTTTCCACTTTTGGAGTTGCACAGGCAGAATGCTCATGCACAGGCAGATTGCATGCAGTTTGCCTGTGCAAGTCAGATTTTTCAGCTTTTGCACTTTCTTCCTCTACAGCTGTATTGCCCTCCTTTTCTATCGGATTCTTCTTGCTCTTTGGATCCTCCAACTCCTTCCCACTCCTCAATGTGACAGCTACCACCATGTCGTCCTTCGGATTCCTCTCAGTATTTGCTGGTAAAGTCTCAGGAATCCTACCTTGAATATCTGCCAAAGTTTGAGCCATCTGGCCTATTTGCCTCTCCATAGCTAGTATAGATGATTGCATATTGTTGTTGATGGCTAGCTGTTGAGTGACCAATTGATCCAGACCCTTGAAATTATTGTCTGTCTTCTACATATGAGCCAAAATCAACTCTTCCATTTGGGGCTTCTTCTCTGGTTGAGGCTGCTGCTGTTGAAAACCAGGAGGTGGGATGTTTCGAACACCAGTTGGATTATTGTTTGACCATGACATATTGGGATGATGTCTCCATTGAGGGTTATATGTATTTGAATACATACCACCCTGGCCTTGACTTCGCAGATTATTGATATATTGGACATCTTCCAACTAAGCAGCTCCCAGTGGACACATATACCTATGATGAGCACCTTCACACAATTCACAAAAAGCAACCTCCTCTTGTCTACCAAGAGCCATCTTAGCCAGCCTTCTTCGAGTGCATCGAACTTGGAATCCAGCTTAGCATCAATCTTTGCTTCTAAACTTGCAACTCTGTCTATCTTATGCAAGCCTCCTCTCCTTCGAATGCTGGTCTCACCACCCCATTCAATATCTTCGGAACATATCTTCTCTACCAGTTCATATGCTGCTGGAGCCTCCATCCTTGTGAAACCATTTCGAGAAAGCATTATTTAGAGCATCCCGAAACTCCCTTCGGATTCCATTGAAGAAAATAATGATCATGTTCCAATCCTCAAGACCATGGCTTGGGCATCTCATCAATAGCCCCTTATAGCGCTCCCATACCTTAGTCAGACTCTCATCATCAGCCTGCTTAAAAGTAACAATCTCTTCTTGTCTCTTCATTGCCAAGGCGGGTGGGAAGTATTTATCCAGAAAGACCTTCTCAAGCCGAGCCCATGTCGTGATGGAACGTGGTGTTAAGTTCTGAAACCAGTGTGATGCATTCCCTATCAGAGAGAATGAGAACATCCGAAGACGAAATGCATCATCAGACACAGTTGGGCTCTTCATCGTATCACATATGCTCGCAAACTGGCAAAGATGCTCGTGAGGATCCTCACTGCTAGCCCTAGAGAAAGTATACCCATTGGCGATCATGTTGATGAATGCTGGGGTAATCTCCATGGTTGCATCCCCAGTCGGAATGACAACACATGTAGCTCGGGCTCCAGTCCGTCGATTCAAACGAGCCTTGATCGAACGATCCTGTTCTGCCATGATGACAGGCTCGATAATGCGAGGTGGTGGTGTCGGTGGTGTAGGGATGACAGGTGATGAAGCCTGTCCTCTCTGTCGACGACTATGGGTTAGGGAAGGCCTAGGAGTTGTGGTTGGCTGCTTCCCTAACTTGACCTGCTTCCTGTTCTGTCGGCAGGTCTTCTCGATCTCCGGATCTAGTGGCAGTAAATCGTTGGTCGTCCTCCTAGGCTTGCACGAGGAGGATAAACCTGAAAATTCTTTTGCACACTAACACCCAGATCAAAATAGTTCACTCACAAAAATCAATAAAAATAAGGTATGGCAGTCCCCGGCAACGGCGCCAAAAACTTGATAGGGCAAAAGCGTAATGCTTCAATTCCTATCTTGTAGTAAACCGGAAATCCGGGTATTGTCTCTCAGGGACTGGTACAACCTTAAGTTCTATCAATTTTATGAGCAAACTATAAGTGAAAATAGTTTAATGGGACTAATTTCTAAAAGCAAAATAAAATAAACAAAGTAACTAAATGAAAACTGTTCGGGAGAAATTCAATGGAGAAAGCTCTGGGAGAAACACTGGGACTCACTTCCTATCCTATCCAGATTAATTCACATATTCCAATCAATTTAATCCATATCTCTACAGCCAGGATATCACTACTGTGCTAGCTATCCCTGTCGGGAATTACTACGTACTAAACAATTAAATCAAATCCTACTGTCGTAGCTCAATGAGTTATTTATTTAGCCTGAAGAACGATATCCCAATCAAGACAGCATAGTACCTTATTTAATCCACTGTCGCTTCGATAAGTTACTATGTCACACGAAATAGGTTCAGTTATTAGGGTTTCACTGTCGCTAATAACCTAATTAACTACAATTCAATTTATTGGTGGCCAGTCAACACAAAGCATTAAGTAATTTCATGTAATAGAGATTGGAAGAAAAGAAATACAAATCAATCCATCAATTCTAGAAATAGCTACATCCTATGGTGTTTCCCCCAGAAATCGGGGCTTAGTTCATAACGAAAATAAAACACACAATCAGGTTCATAATCATCATTCCACGAATCGAAGCAAAAGAAAAAGAATACTGAATTTCTCAAACGATCCAGCTCCAATTCCTTCTTGCTCCGATCGCTGTGCTGCTTCTCCGCGCTCAAAGAATAATTCCGCTCCCAAAAACAATAGCTGCCCAAGAGAATTCCCTTCTCCAAATAATTGACTTATGTTCCGGTCCAAGAAAACCCTCCACCAATTAAAATCCGGTCCAAGTCCATATATATGTCATGCCTCCCTCCAATTGTGTCCCATGAGAATTCCGGCCCAAGACCTTTCTTTTGAATTGTTGTGATTTAAGTCCAGTTCATGCCGCCATATGCTACTTCCCTGGGTTGCCATTTTTCTCATCTTCTCCTAAAACACACCAAAACGCTAATACAAGATGATAATGGCTTTTCAACCATTTCAAGGTTAGTCGATCCTAAAACCAACACTATATGTCTCAAACATTATATGCCTCTCCCCCTACTCTAACCTCAGTCAGATTATCTTAGATATCAATCGTCTCCATGATCGTTACCAACCAAATCAAGTCATGTCCGGAATTTAGACAGTGATAATCCTCCTCTCCCGGTGCAAGATTCGCCTCCTCCAGGTATGGGTCCATTTTGGGGAACATACTCTGGCCCATGTTCAGATCCGGTGAATTACCCCCCGGTGGTGGGTTGTGGAGGAGCCAGGAAGCAACCTCCGCCTCCTCCCTACTGACGTTATCGTCCGCGTCGTCGGTGGCGAAGTAACGGTCATCGAGGAAGTTGAGTGCGCAGGGCCGGTGGTGCTGCGACATCGGCGGAGGAAGACGGCGTCGAAGAAGGGGACGACGGGGACGCGGTCGTGGCGCCGGGCGAATGTGTTGGCGGAGTGTATTTCCCGGTAGCAGCTAGAGTAGGAGACGATTGTTTAATTTTTAATTAATTGGGCTTTAGTGATAACTGATATGAAATAAATAAAATCAAAATTAGAAGTGTTTAGGAGTAAGTGAGGGGTAATTGATTCATTTTCCAGCTCATTAAACGACCATTAACAGGAAATTAGACAAAATAGTATATCCGTTACGTTATAATATTACAAAGACATGTTATAATAATTTTTTTGAAAAAAAAATAGTAAAAAGATACGTTTGTTAATTTATAATAGTAAATTGTAAAAAATTACAAAATACTATCAATCCTATTTTTTAACTAAACTTACATGTATCTTCTGACCGAACTCTTGAACTCTCAACTCTCTACCCCGCCCATGAGTAAACAGAACCGTAATGACCATTTAAACCCAATCCTTGAATGCACCTAGCATGGCTGGTTTGGTCGGCCCTCCGCCATCGCCTTGGGACCCACATTTCATGTCTGTCTGTCCCCGCCACTTTTGAAGCCGCAAATTATTTATTTTAACCTCCTCCAACGAAAACAGTTATTAACCAAAGGAGGGTAAAACGGAGATTCCACTCCACCACCACTACCAACTAAAATTTTGCAGCCTATTAATTAAAAATTTTGTACGACTCGAAGAGGTAGGGGGAAAAAAAGAGTTATCAAAAGCAAAAAATAAAAAAGGAATTTCAATTCGTCATTTTACAATTTACACCCTTTATATGTAAAAAAAAAACAATAATAATGATGTATATAATATAATTTGTTTGGGTCTGTTTTAATTTGCCACGCAAGAAAGAAGAGAAGAGAGATCCGAAAATTCTCATATAAGTCCCCACTCTTCTTCTTCGTCATCTTCCTTCGCCCTTGCTTTGCTTGCCTGCTTGCTTCTTCTTCCACTCTGACGCGAGAGAGAGAGAGAGAGAGATAGAAAGGAATTTACAAAGGGAGAGAGAAAAAAAAAAAAAAAAAAAAAAAGAAAGACTAAGAAGAAGAAGAAGGAAAAGGGAAAGCCAGAAAATCTGTCCCAGCAAAAAGAGAGAATCTAAAATTCGGAAACTGAGAATAATTTTTTGTTTTTGTATAAATAACAACAAATCTTTTTTCCTTCTCTCTTCTCCCTTTTCCATTCTTCTTCCATTTTGCACCATCACACTCTTCCTTCCTCCCTTCCCCTCCCCCCCTTTCCTGGTTTCACATTTGCTTTCACAAGGCTTCCGTTTCTTCTTTCCTTTCCCATCACCATTTTTCCAAGAAATTCTTCCTGATCGCATCCTTGGATCGCTTTCTTTCTTTCTGGGTTGTGGGTCGAGGAATCACAAAATTCAGTTTTTCTTATCTGGGTTTTGATCAGGAGAAGAAGAAGAAAAAAGGGGAAGCGCGCTTTTTCTCTCGCTTTTGTGGGTAGTGTGGGTGAAGGGTCGTTCTCGGTTGTTACTTACTCATGCCAGATACTAATACTAACAACAGTGGCAGCAATCACAAGCCGGTGAAAAGCAATGTTGGGTCTAATCAATCCCCTGATAAGAACATTGAAGGTACTGTTCATGTGGGGGGGATCTCTTCTCATTTCCCCCTTTTCCTCAAATTTCCCCTTCTGGGTTCTCAATTTCGCGTGTAATGTTTGTGATCGTGCACGGAAATTGGCGATCGCCTGTTTTTACTGTGGTCGGAGGAGGGGTTTCATTTGTTTTGATCGTTTGTTGTTTCTTTGTTTGGTGCTGTAGTTGTTTGTTTAGTAATGCAATGCCGATTGGGATTGATCTGTTTGTTTGTATTCTCTATGTCCGAAGAATCGTTTTTGTTCTGGGGATGATCTGGTAACTGAAATCTTCTGTTGTGTGTGTGTCTGGATTTCAGAAGCGATTAGAAGGTTGAAGATTCATGATAATAATCAGGAGCAAGTCGGGGTGACCGAGACCGGGTCATACCCAGATCGACCCGGTGAGCCTGACTGTGTGTATTACTTGAGGACTGGGGTTTGTGGCTATGGCAGTAATTGTCGCTATAACCACCCCCAGTATGCTGCTCAGGTCACAAAGGTTCGTACTTTTGATCACTCTGTGGTGTTCTTTTCGTAATTCATGATTTTGAGATCCTCAGTATCATGTTCCGATGTTGGTTTTTCTTCTTCCAGGCTTCGCAGTTCAGAGAGGAACTTCCTGAGAGAGCTGGAGAGCCTGACTGTGGGGTAAGTTCTCTCTTTTGTGTGATCCATGATTAGTGGATTGGATGTCTGCTGTAGAATGGTTTGATTATGTTACATCATTTTCGCATGTTGAAACTCCTTGATTTGAAGGCTATTTCTTAAAATTGTGCATCCTTCAAATTTGGGAATCAACTAAACCAATTGAAGTCTTGGATGTGAGGCTGACAGAAAGCGATGTAATGATGTGATTATAGTAGCTGCTAAGGTTATGACAAGGAAACATCCATGTTGATCATATGCTTAGAAAGTTCAAAGATTGAAGCTTTTACCTATTGCGACCTTGCATTCTATTTTCGGTTGGCAATGTGATTTTTTCAGCATGACTGAATGAGTAAATAGATTGAAAATTGCTGTTAGTCTTCCTTTAATTGGTCCAGATTTGCAATGGATACTTGATTTCAACTGTTCGTATATGGTAAAATTGATTGCATTTATAATTGCATCACTCATTCATCTAAGGCCATCGTAAATGCAATTCAAGCCCCAAAACAGAGAGAAAATTGATTTATGGATTCATCACATCGTAGTGGTATTGCATTGTGATTGAGATAATCTGGATTTTTATTCCGTTGATCTATTCATAGTGAAAGTTACATGGGGCTTATTGGCAAATTTGGATTGCAGTATTATCTGAAAACAGGCACTTGCAAGTATGGGTCAACATGTAAATACCATCACCCAAAGGACAGGAATGGTGCAGGACCAGTTTCATATAACGTTCTCGGTCTTCCCATGAGACAGGTACTTACTTTATTTAATTTTCATTCTTGAAAACTTGAAAGCTCACAAATTGACTGTTTTGTGCAGGATGAAAAGTCATGCCCTTACTATCTGCGTACTGGTTCATGCAAATTCGGAGGTGCATGCAAGTTCAACCATCCCCAACCTGCAGCAGCACTTGAACCTGGGGTGCCTCTTCCTGGTGGGCTCTCTACCTATGGATCGACGACCGGTTCATCCATGATCCCAACTGCTGGTTTGCCTTACATTGGCGCGCTTCCAACATGGTCCTTTCCCAGAGTTCCATACATGTCAGGCCCACGTTTGGAAACTCCACAGGCTTTTGCTCCTCTTTATATATCTCCTTCCCAAGGAATCTCTCCTGCACAAGGCTGGAACACTTATGTGGTGAGTAGACATAGAGATAGTTATTCAGTTTAATCTCTTCTCAACTTTTGGTACATTGACTATGTTAGAACCTGGTAAGTTCTATGGCATTCTGGTTGCACTCTCTATGTTGGTGTGATAAGTTTGTAGTTGTCTACTTACATTTGGTGGATATTCATCAGAGTAGCGTGAACAGGGATTACTATCAGGTGACTATGCGTATGGACCAGATTATATGCGGATATTTTTGGACTAGAATCATACACCATAGTATCATTCTTCCACTTCCACACTCTCCATCCTCCTTCCTGTCTTCTCACTTCTGCCGCCAGAATGTCACGGTTTAATTAGGGATTCAGTAGCGTTTAGTAGGGATCTAGTAGGCATACGGTATGAATTTAGCCAGAATTTGGTTGGGATATAGTAGGGATCCCTTGATAAAACTTTTTTTTTTTATGCCTTAAAACTTCACCTTTAACAAGCTATTTCTGAAGAAAGTTTCAATCTTGACTATACAAGAAACCTTCCTTCCAACAGTCTCACATGATTGAAGGGCCTTTAGTTGGTAGTCTCAGGTCTTTATGGTCACGATACTATTTTCTCTTTTCTTTATCTCCCCTGAATCTGATGCTCTCATTTGTTCGTCAGGGAAACTTGAGCCCAATGTCTTCTTCTCCAAGCATCCTGGGTTCAAACCTTGTATTCAACACCTCCAGGAATCATCAAGGTGAGTCGGGGGGTTCCAGTGGGCAACAAACGCATTTGATATACAACGCACCACCTAGTTCTAATCTTCCTTCAAGACCTGATCAACCAGAATGCCGACACTTCATGAACACCGGCACCTGCAAATATGGGTCCGACTGCAAATACCATCATCCAAAGGACAGAACTGCTCAGCTAGCAACCAATCCTGGCCCACTTGGCCTTCCCTCTCGACCCGTAAGCATCCCTTTTTGCTCTATTAACTACAAAGTTTTTGGTCTGTCAATGGTTTTTTTTTTTTTTTTGTTAACTCCAGTCCTGGATTTTTGCAGGGGCAAGCTCTATGTTCCAACTACATTTCCTATGGCTTCTGCAAGTTCGGTTCAAACTGCAGATTCGATCACCCGTTCACCACTGGATACCCTTACAGCTACAGCTTGACCGTTCCTCCGTTACCTGTCCTTGATTCTTCCATGGTTACTTATCCAAGAATGTCACCTGCTGAACCACCTTCTCTGTCACCATCGCCGAATAAGGTCCCCAATAGCAATGGTGCTGCTAGAAACAACAAGCAACAGTATCAGATGAGTGCAGGTATGAATAAGAAGACAATGGTGACTACAACTACTACTACGACTACTCCTCCATCTGATGATACTACTGACACGGCTGGAGATCCTTCACCACCACCACACTCCTCGTCGAAGGCTTCTTCCGAGGTTTCACATGATTGATCGATTTTTGGCCTACAATGGAAGCCCTACCTGTGTGCTTCCCTTCTTTTTTGGTTCCTCCCTTTTTCCCTTGGCTATTCCTTCCGTCTATTGAACAGAACAACTCTTCGGTATATCTAAGAACAAAGAGAAATTTTTTGGTCACATGTAAGACACCCCCACTTTTTTCTGTTGAATCCCAGAGATATAGGTTGATTTCGGTAATGCCCGAAAAGTTGGATGATGATGAGGCAAGAAAAAACATTTTAGGGGGGGTGTATGTACATGGAAGGCAAAGTATTTAATTTGTCTTCTCTTTTCTTTTTGGGTTGTGAATAAAACTTGCAGGTGAAAGTCTCTTTTGCCTTTGCTCAATTGACTACTCTAGTGGCAGCTCCTACTCCATTCTTTTTTGTTTACTTCACGAACAAGGGAAGTGGATGCGTGTGTTGCAAGCAAAGTGAGTTCAACTCATTGAGAAATGTTTGATGTGATTCTAATCTATATACAGATGCATCCTTTCCAAGTACAAATAACCAATGCCAGTGAAGTGATAGCTAAGTTCGATAATCCAATCCAGCAGTAGCTTGCGTGCTGTCAATTTTAAGATAGGTTCAGTTTTTATTATTATCTTTCAATCAAGGACGTAACCCGAGAATATACCATATTACCATTTGGTTCATTATTTGCTTCTGTTTACTTTTATGATTTCAAAGTATGGGTGAATAATATGTTCATTCGCTATTGTGAATCTGAAATTACTAATTTGTTTCGTGTCACTTAATTTTTTTTTATTTCATGGCTGATCATTTATAATTATATCATCATTCCAATTTTGGTTATTGGTAGTGTTGGGCATGTGACTCGGATCCTTCCCCACTGAAGAAACACCAAGGATAATCACGCCAAAGAGGAGCGCGCAAGTACACCGGAGTAAAGCGCGCCGGAGTCAGGCGCGGGAGTCACGCCGGAGTCAAGCGCGCGGGTCGCGCCGGAACCAAGCACCCTGGTGGAAACCACCCTCGGAGGGGCGCGCGCGAATACTAAACGACGACGCATCACCCGGGCGTGGGCCCTTATCGAGAAGCCGCAGAAGCGGCGCCGCGTCACCGCGTCACCCAACGGGTAGTCACCATCATAGTCCTAGGTATAGTCCTGCTTGTGTCAGGAGTAGTCACATCAGTGTCCTAAAAGCATGGACTAAATCCCTGGCATGTCAGTGGTCATATCATTGTGTCCACTTGTAACCCAACCACTCACCCACCACCATGTAGCCTATAAATATGGCATTTACTCCGGTGGGTGAGGGGATCGGATTTTTCAGACTCTATCTCTAAAATCATCGACTTCTCTCTCTAAAATATTTCTCTCTCAATCCTTCTTGTAATCTCCTATGTTCTTCCATCGACGATTATTCCCTTACTGCTTACTCTCCTTGACCCATTTTCTCGAGTCTCCCTCCTACACCCAGTTAGGCTCAAACAATTGGCGCCCACCGTGGGGCCAAGTAGAGAAGCAAAGAAAATCCCAAAGAAAATTAACCTATGGCAGAGCACAACTCCAACTCACCTGACGAATCAACCCCGATCAAGGCCATGACCAACCCAAGGGAATTCGCGGAAGCCAGCAATCTCAACATGGTGCTCTTAGAAGAGGAAGAGCCCGAGCTCACAGCCAGAGAAATGAGACAGCTGATGGCGAAGCAGAACGACGTCGTAGCCAACATGCAGAAACAAATGAGCCAGGTCATGGCGCTCATGATGAGCAAAGAGGCCGCAGCAACAGCGGGCGCGACACCATCCACGCCAGGGACAGTCCTACCAGCGCACCCCGCGCACGAAGCGCAACAAGTCGAGCTCACAGTATGCGCGACACCAGTCGCGCCCCAACAAGCCCACGGAGAAACGTCGGGGACGTTCCCGCAATTACACCCCGTGCATGAAACACAGCCAGCTGAGCCTCCAGGAAGGGCGGACCTCAGCTTTCTAGAGCAACACCTATCTCCGCAATACCGACTCAGCGCGCCCAAGAAGGCGCTCCACCAGCCGCTGAGCGCGGAAATCATGGCGGAACACCTGAGTGGAATGCCACCCGCCCTCCCGACATACAACAAGACGACCGATCCCGAAGATCACGTGAGCACTTTCTGCCTGCGGATGCAGCTCCAGACCAACTCCAACGCGGCACTATGCCGAACCTTCCCATCAACATTTTCTGGGATATGCCTAGATTGGTATAACAGGCTCCCAAACGGGATCATCCGCTCCTTCGAGGAGTTCATACTCCTATTCACGACAAAGTTTGCATCCCAAAAAAGGAGGCCGCTCCACCTCAAAGCGCTGGTAGACCTCAGGCAAAAAGATGGGGAAAACCTACAAGCATTTTACGCCAGATGGTCCAGAGTGGCGATGGCAGTGCGCGACCTTACTCCTGAAACCGCCGCCCATCACCTTATGGAAGCCACAACCAACATGGAACTCAAGCGGGCGCTAGCAAAAAGGCCCGTAACTCTATCAACGGAGTTAGAGATGAAAATCGAGAAGGCGATTACGCTGGAGGAGACCCTGGGAGCGGGATCTGTTAGGCGCTTCGAGCCAGCCAAATTGCCGCGAGAAGAGCAGGGACGACGGCAGATCATGCTGCCGCGAGATCAGCTAGCGCAGCTGCACAGCGGACATAAGCAACACCCCCCTCCCCCACAAAAGCAAGCGCAGCGGAGAAGATCACCAGACAGGCGCGCGCCTCACGCGTTTACACCACTCAACGACTCCGTAAAGAATGTGTTCCACGTTCTACGCGAGAAGGGGTACAAGCTCAACTGGCCCGCGCCCCTGAAGTCCTTGCCCCACATGAGAGTTCCAAAAAAGCATTGCGACTTCCACAGAGCGACGGGGCACTGGACGGAGGATTGTCGAGAGCTGCGCTATGATATAGAGGGCCTCATACGGCGAGGGTTGCTGACCGAATTCACACATGAAAAAGAGGAGCAAGTTGGGGGACACCAAAACCCGCCGCCACCTCCGCAAGCCGACTACAACGAAGCCACCGCAGAATATGTGGTGCGGAAAGAAATAGGGGTGGTGACGGTGGAAGGAGATCGCCCGAAAAAGAAAACCAAGCGCGAACGAGCAATCGAATTCGCGGCAGCTGATGTACGATCAGGGGGTCAACTGAGCTTCGACGACACCGAATTACCGCAAGGAGTTCCGTCGGAAGACCCACTCATCATCACCGCCCTAGTGGCCGCCTGCAAAATCCACCGCCTCCTGATAGACGGGGGTGCAGCGGCAGACATCCTCTTCCAAAGCACAATCGACAAGATGGACGTCGACCCGCGCTTAATCAAGCGCGCCCAAGGGAACCTGGTCGGCTTCTCCGGAGCGAGGGTTCCAGTAATTGGGGTGATCACTCTCCCTGTGGTCATCGGAGACCAAGAGCCACGCGTCTCAAAGCAGATCGAGTTCACAATAGTCGACTGCAAATTGTCCCACAACGGCATCTTGGGTCGACCCTTCTTAGCAAAATTCATGGCCCTTCCTTCCACGTGCCACCAAAAACTCAAGTTCCCTACCAAAATGGGAACAGGAGAGGCGTGCGGGACACCATGGGAAGCCCTGAAGCTAGAAGGAGAGCCTCGACAAACGAACATTGTCGACACAAGGCCAGAGGAACCCCGCCCGGAATCAATGGATTCCGATTTCGAGGTCGCGCTCGACCCAGCCGAGCCGACTAGGAAAATACGCATCTCGACTCACGTTCGCGACGACGCGATTGAGCCACTGATAGCGCTATTAAAGGAGTACAAGGAGCTATTTGCCTGGTGCACAGAAGACATGCCAGGGGTACCAAGGCATGTGGCCCAACATTGCATCGCAGTCCCGCCGAGCGCAATTCCGAGGCAACAAGCGCGACGCGGCTTTACTGGCAACAAGCTGAAGGCCATCGGAGAAGAGGTGTCGCGACTCTTGGCGGCAGGGTTGATTCGCCCAGTCAAGTACCCAAAGTGGTTGGCGAATGTGGTCTTGGTAAAAAAATCTTCAGGCGCTTGGAGGATGTGCGTTGACTACACGACAATCAACAAGGTATGCCCGGGAGACCCTTACCCCCTGCCGCGCATCGACCAACTGATCGACGCCACTGCCGACTACGAGACACTGTCTTTCTTGGACATGTTCTCAGGGTACCATCAAATCCCGATGTCACGCGAAGATGAAGAAAAGACGGCGTTCATGACTCCCTTCGGAAACTTCTGTTTCGTCGGAATGTCGTTCGGACTGAAGAACGCAGGCGCGACATACCAAAGAATGATCGACTCGGTGTTCTCACACCAGAGGGGGCGGAACATCGAAGCGTACGTAGACGACCTCATCGTCAAAACCAAGGCTGGGAACTCGCACCTAGAGGATCTACGAGAGACATTTGAGGCGCTCCGCAAGCACAACCTCCGCTTTAACCCACTGAAGTGCGTCTTTGGAGCGGAAGCAGGGAAGTTTTTGGGGTTTATGATAACCAAGCGCGGCATCGAAGTGGACCCAAAACAAATCACGGCGGTCCAACAACTGCGGGCCCCAAGGAGCGCACTGGAAATCCAATCCCTGAATGGGAAGATAGCAGCGCTGGGGAGATTCATCCCAAGGTCGGCCAACAAGTGCGCGCCCTTCTTCAAGACACTCAAAAAGGGCGCGAAATTCGCATGGACCAAGGAGTGTGAAGCAGCCTTCCAAGAGCTGAAATCATACGTTGTATCCCCCCCTGTGTTGACAGCTCCCAAGCTTAATGAAAAGTTATTCCTTTATCTTGCCGTGTCAACAAGAGCAGTGAGCGCTGTTCTGATAACCAGAAGAATTGATAATACCGAGCAGCCCGTGTATTACACTTCGCGCACGCTAGTTAGCGCAGAAACGAGATACTCCCCAATTGAGAAGGCAGCCCTGGCATTAGTAAGCGCGTCACATAAGTTGCGCCCCTACTTCCAAGCGCACCTGATCACCGTCCTGACCAACCTCCCACTAAAGAAAATC